GTACAGATAAAATATGGTATTGTTCGAGACAATCACGGTTTAGGAGGGATGTTCTCTCACATGATTCGAAGAACAATATGTTTTGTCTTACTATAGTAGAGAAAATCCTCGCTAGAATCTGATTTGCTGAAGAATTGCCATGCAGCGTGGATGTCTCGACTTCAAGAGTATTCTATGAGAGTTCGTTGAAACTGGTAAATCTGACAATACAGAAACCCTCTGACGATATCGGCAAGACAGATTTTCCGTTATTGGATACACATTATTGAGAAAAGTAACGACAGCTGAACCTCGTCTATTTTAATCTTCTTTTTCCAAACTTAAAGTTTTAAAGTGTTCACAAAGTTAAAGTGTCACAATTGCTCTAGTCTGAAAAAAGGATCTTGAAGATTAGAGAAGAAACTGATAGACAAGAAAGGATTAATGAGACAAGAATCTTTTAACACTATTCATTATAGAAAATAATACGAAGAAATGTGTGCATCGAAAATGTTATTGGTGTTTTCCTTTGAAAAATGTCTCCAAAGTTCGCAGATCATGTAGAATTTAGCACGGAGGGTCATATGCAAATGAGCTCAAGTTATGGGTTTGTCGGTTGATAAGTAGGAAGAGTTTAGTGTTTTTGAATTCTATAGCTAATCGACTTTGTTCAGCAATAGTTGAAGTTGGAGGAACAATATATGATGTTTGTTTTTGATAATGAATCAATTCTTTTTCAAACAATTTCCACAGTTCATATACGTTCAACATTGCTGCTATTAGTTTAATCGATAGGAGATATTGGATTAGCCATCGACTGGAGTGTAATGTCGATACCAACTTTGACTTGTGACTTTTTCGCGCTAGGGATGACAATAGATCTTTTCAGGTGTTTTTGTAGCCTCTACGATTTTTTTTCTGATCGGGTGTCCCTGCACTCAAGTGGAGCTGGTGTTCATGAGAGAAGATTAAAATAATAAATACACCTACTTTCAACGATTCTCAGAACCTAAAATTGATCTGTAAACTTAATAATAGTGAATAGATTAAGCAGTGTAAATTAAGTTTTACATATCGATTGAAATTTTCGACCTTATTTCATTTATGATCTAATAGTGATCTGAATAATGAATTTGTACGGTCATCATCAGCAAGTAACATCATCTGTGACCCTAATATTAAGTTTTGAACGGAAACCAAAATCGTACCATCAAATACCAATAAACCTATACCAATACCAATGCTAGATAACAAGTAATCAATATCGTATACCAATAGATATGTAGATAATACAAAGGGCAACATTAAATACAAATATTAAGTATAATATGAAATAACAAGTACCTAGTAACCATCAACATAAACATAAATATATAACTTTCAAACTGAATTAAATTAGAGTATAAATGCATGTCTGCTTAAATATTAGGGTCACAGATGATGTTACTTGCTGATGATGACCGTACAAATTCATTGTTCAGATCACTATTAGAACATAAATGAAATAAGGTCGAAAATTTCAATCGATATGTAAAACTTAATTTACACTGCCTAATCTATTCATTATTATTACTTATTACTTTTAACTCAAGCAAATCAATTTCTAATGATATGTAAACTTTGTTTTGCTTTGTATTTGAGGTTTCAACGATTTATTTAGATAAATAAATCTACAGAGTTTGAAAAGAAGAAAGGAAGAAAAAACGGAAACAATTAAATCCTGAGAAACGGGAGAGATGGAAAGAGAAGTGGTAGGGCTCCTGACTTATGTCTTATGCCCTTCGTAGGAAAGAGTAAAGTTAATTTATGCGAACATGTGTTAGAGTATATGTAAGATTTTCTCTTGATGTATTGTCGTTGCAGTTTTCTGCTCTTGCAATTGATCGTTGAAGAAGGAATGTTGCGTAATTTTTAATCCTGGGAACATTTGTACTATTATGTATGTAATCTGTAGATGTATACGCTGGAAGTCCCAATGATGCTCTCAAACCTTTGTTTTGTATAATCTGAATTCTATTCCATATTTTTTCGTCTGCTCTTAGAAGAATCGATGATCCGTATGTTATAATTGATCT